TGGCAGTTCCCAAGGACCAGGAACTGAGGACAGACCCTTACATTTGCCTCTAACTAAAGCATCTGTTCAGATGTGCTAGACCCTACACAAAGGCATTCGGAGTGGAATCAAAGCTTCCATGAGACATAGTAACTTGCTAGATTAAGGTCACCACCCAGATTGAAACGCACCTGAATTTGAGCCCCATGTCTCAAGCCTGAGTGGTCAGCATACTCTGGCTCTTTGGAGTCTCCTGGAAGGCTGGGACACAGTTCTACCTGCTTTGTTAAAAGCTCATAATCGATATTTGTTGCTGGAGGGGCCGAGCACATTGCAGAGATTTTCATGTTGTCCCTGTGACCACTAGAAAATAGGATAATCTTGCACCTGGTATATGGGGGAAAGACAGGCTCAGAAAAGTTAAGGAACTCATCCCAAATCACACAGCCTCCAAATGTCGAAAGCCAGGATCCACAAACAGACAACCCAGCCCCGTGCCAGCAATCAGACATCAACCGACTGTAGTACCTAGTGGTATTTGGGCTGTTCCTAGCAGCACCCGTGTATTTATTTGTGCCTGCCTGACAAGGGATAGATGCTGGACAGACTTTCCAGATCTTGGGCCTGGGTTCTGTCTGAGCCTGAGCAGAGTTAGGTCTCTTGGGAGCCCCTGGTGGGAAAGCATAAGAGGCTTTGCCAAATACAGAGCAGCTGTTCTGCTCTGGGGAAAAAGAATAGGGCTTCTGATATTCAGGAGTAGGGTCTCCCAGAATTCCCACCCTCCCCTCAAGACAGCTCTGCATCCGAATAAATAGTCATAATCATACTCCTGCATAGCTTCCCTCTGGTGCTCACACTGGTGCCTGCACTCAGGACTGTTGTGATCTGCACATCCCCCACTGAGATCCACGCTATGCCAGACTTTGCTGTGCCTCTCCCTGGATCTCTCCAAATACCATCCCCCAGGAATTCTTTCTCTCCGTCTAGGTCTGTCTCTGGCCTATCTCCTTTTTCTCCAAGATTGTCAGCAGGTCTTAAGTCTCTGGCTCTCTATGGACATTAGAGAGTGGCTATGTGAGGTTTGCCTCTATGAACTAGGGAATGCTAGCATGCATGCTTGTGTTTGGGCATATGTGTTGGTAGTATGTATAATGTGTAGCTCTATCGGTTGTGTGTGGTTGTGTGTCTGTGTCAGTGGGCTGTGTATTGGGTTTGTGCACACGGTTGTGTGCTTGTTGGAGTGTATGTGCGTGCCATCTACTGATTTTGTGACTGTGGTGTGTGATAGTTGGTCATGTGTTAGGCATCTGTGTGAGTCTGAGTTGTGAGTCTGGGGTACACGTGTTGGTTTTGTGTGTTTGCTGAGGCATGTGCTGCTGTGTAGATGTGTGTGGGTCATGTGTGCACAAGCACTTTGTAGGCTCTGCCTTTCGTGTAGAGAGCCCGCGTGCATCGGACAAGGGGGTTGTTGAGGTTAAGAGGCTGCTGTCGCCGCGGGGTGGCGCTGTGGTGGAGGCAGGCGGGCTTGTAGCCAGGACCCTGCAGGGCCAAAGTGTACAAGGGAATCCGAGCTGTCGAGTGGAACCGAAGGGATCCCCCGAGCCTGGGATGCAAACTTAGGGTGCATTAGGGGAGAGTGGACACTTGGCTGTGATACTTGGGGATCAGGTGCTCCCGGTGGCGTGAGGGACCGGGTGACTGTCGCGGAGGAGCTAGCGGCTGGGAGGACAGGACGGAACCCGGAGGACCGGCGCCCCGGGGGCTTGGCCAGGCCGGCGCCAGCCAAAAAGTTGAAAGGCGGCCGCTGTCTCTCCTCCGCGTTCCCCATTGCGCCCCTGAAGGCTCTGGCGGGGCTCAGGCCTGGATCGGCTGGGCTCACCTGGGAGCCTCCCGGTCGCTAAAGGGGCCCCCGCGGTGGGTCGCTTGATCTGTAAGCCTCCTGCGTGCGGCTTGGGCAGTCCTCCCAGGATCAGCTAGCCAAACCAAGTACCCTGAAACCAGGCGCTCTGAACGCGAGCCCCACCCTGCTTCCCGGGTCGCGACTGCCTTAGCCCGGCTACACACGCCCTGAACTCTGGTCCCCCAAAGTCCCCTGCCCTAGCCAGGGTCATCTCCGCCTCAGCTACCACGCTGCGCTGGCCGCTCCAGTCCTGTGGCGTTGTCAGAAACGGAATTTGCAGACTGCTTTTCTGTGATCTTTCCAACAAAATGAAAACGCCAGTGCAGATGGCCTGCCGGGCAGGGAAGACATCCCTCTCACGGTCCTAGGAACAGGGCTTGAATGTGGTCCTGGAAAAGGGGTCAACATCACAACTGGGGCCCAGATCACCCGTGGCCAATTGCCCAGGGCACCCACATTTCCTACGAGAACTGTCATGGCATTCATTGACCCTCAGCTATAGAAACTTGGGCTGGTGCTCCTGAACGCATAGGTACCCAATGAAATGAGATCGAATCCCCGTTCTGTTTCTTCATTAATTGTGTGTCCTGTTACCTCTCTGGGCCTCAGTAGTCCTCCAAGACTATCGAAATCTAAGTTTGAGTGGAGGAGTAAAACATTCGATACACACGGTAACATGCCCAACACGGTAGGTTCCAAAAACAGACTTCTCTACCATAGCCTGTCAGCACCCTAGATGGTGACCCCCACTCCTCGCGATCGAGACCACTCGTTAGCTAGATCAGGAGTTTAATCGGTAAAGAACCGAGCCAAGGACCCGCGACAAACATCGCTCTAACTTGAACAGATAGGGAACTCAGCCTTAGAACCGACAGTGAGAAGCGGTTATCCATCCATCTCCCGGCTGCAAAATTCTGCCACTCTGGATTTAAAGCAGCTCCGCAAACTCGACGTCAATCTAGTGGACTGCTCAGAGACGGCAAACATCTATTGAGCACTTTCTGTGTACACCGCCATCACCGCCATCTAGAAAGACACTTTGGAAATGAGAAGGTGGACAAAGAAAGGGCTAACTGGAAAAAAAAACACAAAAAACAAAAGTAGGGGGGGGGAAATGAACGGGTCCAGTAGTGGAAGGAAATCTTGGCCCAAGACTGCTTCCAAAGGCCACGGCGCTTGCGGGCGGGGGTCCTAGGGAGGCTCGAGAGGGGGGAGAGGAGGCACGCCCGCCTCGCCTGCAGCTACCGCCTCGCTGGAGCCATGGCGCGTCTGCAGAACGCGAACCGTTGCTCATTACCGCAATTATGCTGCTCTAAATTTGCCTCGACCCTAAATTGCTAAACTCAGAGGAACCAGGAGGCCCAGGACCTTGGGCCGGAGGAGACACAGGATCCTGTCCCGCCATTCCTCAATTCTGAGTGAGGGAAAGGACTTATGTGCGGCTGCCGAGAACAGGGCTCTAGCTGAAACCGCAGGCTCCAGGAGAATCTGCTGCGACCTCAATGTCAGGCTGGTAACACTTCCCCAAAGTCTAGGAGCGAGCATGATGAGGATACCAGGACGATTTTCCCGGGTGAGAAAGCCGAGGAGGCACAGCAAGATGACATGAGGAGCCTGCCTCGGGTCACACAGGCACTGAGGCAGGATCGACCACGCAGCCACCTCGGCCCACCTGAGACAGACTCAGTACCACTGTCTACCTAACCACCTCCAGTGGCTTTCTAGGAAGGAACCCGGGAGATTGGACATGGGAGTCAGGATGTTTTGGGGTCAGGGTGTACGACCCAAAACTGCTTAAATGACTGGCAGCAAGAAGAGGGGCACCTTAGCTTCCAGTCGCCTCTAAAGAACGTCAGGTGTGGGTTCTCAACCTTGAAGGTCCTGTCAGGACTCCGGTCGTGGATTTGCTTCTAGAGACCCAGACTGAAGGTTACTTTCCAGAGTCCTCCCGACTGTTCCATTAGTAGAACCAAGATCCTCAACAAAACTTGACAAGCTTATCCTTCTTGTAGGGAGTGGGTGTGACAAATAGTCAGAGACATAGACTCTTTAACTCTAGCTACAACAGACTGGAGGACCCAAGGCCAAAGTACCTCTGGAGTATCTTGGAGCCAGTGTACATACCTCCCAACCTCCCCACACCCCAAAACCTCATGGAATTCCCAGGCCAATGTGAGCCTTGGGGCCACCTTTTAACTGTGGAGATGTTCACATTTCCCCCAAATCCAACACCAGGTACTAGATAAGGGTCTAGATTTCCCCATCCTGACATCTCTAGACTAAGGCTGCACAGGGCTCTCCTTCGTGGATGCTCAAGCTCCCATCAGATGGAGGCCGGTAGAGGTGAGCACCTGGATTTGATGAGACTCGCAGGGTTGTCACTGCGCAAGAGAAAGAGAATGGGGGTGGATAATAGGCTTGATTTACCAAGGTCATTTTCTGTCCTTCACATCCTTGAAGAATTTTTCCCCAGAAGACAAAACTTGCACTTAAATTTTTCTTGGATGCCTGAACTTTACATAAAGGAAAAACCCAGTTTAAGAGGGCAGGAGAGAGGGTCCAGGTATAGAGGGTCCAGGTATAGGGTAGCCCTGTTTTTTTGTGTTTTTTTTGTTTTGTTTTGTACTATTCAGTGTAGCTGCATGTTTTTGTGTCGTAAGGAGGGTGGCTGTGCAAAGCTCTTTAGGCAGCTCAAAATGAAGCTCACATTGTGCCTATACTGGTGGCTGTTTAGAGATACATACTCCCCTTCTGTGGGAAAACAGGTTTGAGGGGTCAGGAATTGTCTGGATTACCTGATGACAGTCATCAAACCACTTTGTTTTCATAGACAGTTTAAAAGGGGAGGAGGAAAAAAGAGTCAGTTATGGGTGGAAAGAGCAAGTGTCGATTTCAGCTTAAAGTGAATTGGAAAATTGAGCCTAATTATCCCGGGTAATTGCTCCACTTGACTGTGCTAATGCAAATCTCTCCTGTGTGCCCCCCCAAAGTGATTCCTGAACATCTTCCTGTCGACTGCGAAAGTTGCTAATGTAAAACTGCCAACAAACGGGAAAGCAACTGTATATGTGAAGAGAAAGAACGAGGAGTAAAACACACAACTAAATCCGCAGACATAATATCTTGTACCTTAAAATTAATTTATTTAACAAATATAGCTATAATATAAATGATAATAAAATTTCAAATATACAGTATATTACATAGTACACACAATCCCTTCAAAAGGGATGTTTGAGAGCCACGAAAATGTACTGTTAAATAGGAACAGGTTGGTTTTTTTTTTTTTTTACTTTTTTTTTTCCTGGTCCTGGGAAATTCTCTTCCACCTACCTTGGTAAAGCACCAGCGCGGGCCCTGCCCTCTCAGAGCAATGCCTTGTTGCTAAAGCTCTTGGAGTCTGACAGTGCAAGGAGCTGTGCTCCTGGCTTTCTACATAGGACTGTGTTCATTTCCCGAAGCACCAAACAGCAATTTCTCTGCGCAAGTCCTGCCTGGTTCCAGGACCGGAAGCAGCTGATGCAGTCATGGCCTCTAGTCTCCTTCAGCCTCTAATTCTGCTGGGGACCACGAATAAATCTCTTGGTCTCGGTGCCCTTAATTTCCACATCTATAACTCGCGGGTGTAAATCTAGACTCTCTCCAAGAATCCAGATCCTTCCAGCCACTTTTTTTCCCCCAGATGGGATCAGACTCGGAGGAACTGGATGAAAGAACTGTAGTAAGGGGGCTTAAGAGAAGGGACCGGGCGGTGTGGGGCTTCCTAGGAAGGATTCCAGCTGCTAGAAGAGGTGGCTAGGGGGTGGGGTAGTGGCACCACAGGGAGGCGACTCTGGACCCACCTATGTCAGGTGGTACATGCTGTAGCCTACATGGGCCGTGTAGAGTCCCACGGGCGCCACGGGCAGCGCAGCGCGCTGGAAAGGGCCAGACGCACTGTAGAGCGAGGCGCCCGCGGCCGCCGCCACGGCTGCAGGGCCGCCGAGAGGGAAGGAGAGGCCAAAGGCGGCAGGCGGCAGCATGGGCTTCGCGGCCATCTTCAGCTTCTCTAACTCGGCCTCCTGCAGTCTCTTGGCCTTGGCGCGACGGTTCTGGAACCAGATCTTCACCTGTGTCTCGGTGAGGCTGAGCGAGCTGGAGAACTCGGCACGCTCGGCGATGGACAGATATTGCTTCTGGCGGAACTTGCGCTCCAGAGCCAGCAGCTGCGCGGTGGTGAAGGGCGTTCTCGGCTTGCGGTTGGTCTTGTGCTTTCGTAGGGTGCAGGCCGGGGGACTCAGTCTCCCTAGGGGACCCGGAGAAAAAAAAGGCAAGGAGTTAAGAGTGCATTACTAAGGGACAGAAACCATTGGCACTGATTTCCCCCAAGCGTCCCTATGCTGGGCACTTGAAAAATATTTTCTCCATCTGTATGTAACCCAACCCATAGGTCAGAAGTTCTTGTCTACTAAGATTCCAGATTAAATCTAGCCATATTTAATGCTGGAATACAGTTGAGCAGAGACAGTGCCAACCTACCTTAGTCAGGCCTTCCCCTCCCGGGGCCTCTTCTGGGTCACTGCACAGAGGAAGATGAACCCTAAGGGGGCCATAAGACATTCAGAGGCCCTCAGCTCAACCCAAGGTCATACTGGGTTTTATACCTTAGGCATACATTTGTATTTGTGTCCACCAAATGTACTGCATTGGGGGTAGGCCACTGCATAAAACTACTTTTTAAAAATATTTATTTTTATTTTGTAAGCATTGATGTTTTGGCATGGGTGTTCGGTGGCCTGGAACTGGAATTACAGACAGTTGTGAACTGCCATCTGGGTGGCTGGGGATGGAACCCAAGTTCTCTGGAAGAGCAGTCAGTGCCGAGCCATCTCTCTAGCCCTAGAATGGATCTTGAAATTCCGCACCTTCTATCAAACAGCATGCTTCTACTGGGCTCTAGGGCCAATCGAAATTAGAGAGTCATCGAAGAGGTCACACTGTGACAATTCTAAAATATACATGAGGACATATCATCTAGATGTGCTGCCGTTTCAGATGCTCTGTTTTCCCTAGCAGTTCCTCCTAAACGCAGTGTCTGGATTCTTGGACCACAGCAAGCAGAGTGTCGGGGTGTGATAGCTTCTCCAACATAGCTCAGTTTCAAGAAACTGGTGGTGCCCACTTTTCTTTCAGTTTTTCCAATAAAGGGTAAGTCTCAGCAGAGTGCTGCCACTGTTTGGAGGGCAGGCCCGGTTAAGAGGACTGGGTTTCAATCCTCCATCAACCCTGCTATGCCCGACAACACTGTTGCAGCATAAAACAAACCTGCACAACCCCCCCAACAACACACACAACACACACTTAGTGATTGCCTTGACTTGGAGTCCTAGAGGCTGAAGTTCTAAACCAAAATCCCAAGTCTCCAGGAGGATGCTTTGCCTCTGCATCAGTTTTTCCTTTAAGAAAGCGAATTGAAATTGAGGACGTCTCACCATGCGGGTTTTGCCTAACTATGCATTTCTTGGCACTTAAGAAAAAACAATAATAACCCTTTGGGCCTTCAGACCACTAGGATGTGAGTCAAACGAAATTTCCAGTTAACATCCCCCTTCTTCCCCAGCTCGGGCTAAGGCAAGTCCGGAAAGAAGTTGGCCCCAGACTCGTTTTCCGCCAGGCCGCGAGAGAGAAGGGAGGGTTCATAGGGAAATGTCACTTTGGTCAGCATCAATAGCCCAGCTCTGAGCCACCTTCGCCAACTATTAGGCCCAGGGAGGGGCTGTCTTTTCAAAGACGTTTAATCCCCAGATAAAAATCGTTCCTCAGCATCACGCCATTGAATTTGCAATGCTATTATGTGGTGCGAAATAATCGGAGGAAACGAGGAAAACTTGGGAATTTCCCGTGCTCCTGAAATATCTTCGAGCGGGTTCGCTGGGGAAAGACGTCTGAGGGCCACGAGGATTTAGGACTATCCCGGAACACGTCGCTAGCTGCTGGGTCGGCTTTGAAAGCCAGGTCCAACACGTTCCGAAGCTAGCAAAGCGATAAATGGGGAGCTCCTTTGGCTATCGTGATGCCCCGCCCCCCTCTACTTGTTCATGATTGTCCCACTTGATAAATCACCCACCGGCTCAGCACACCAAGTAACTGCTCCTAACTTGATGGGTAGGGGAGGAGTTTTGCAGATCTCCTGAACCCCTGGAGAGGTACTACTACCAGAAAGTGAAACTCCGCTGGGCCAATCTAAGTCGGGTGCAAAATAACTGGGTTTAGGGTCAGGTGAAGGAGCAGGGAACCCTCGGTGTCCTAAGTACCGGAAGAATAAGAGGGTCTCCAGACACCCGCGCGCTACAAATGAACTGACACACTCAGCGGCACTGCGTCAAGGCAAGGAACCCGCGAAAACGGACTGAGGGGTTTGCCAGCTCCAGGCCTCTAACTCTCTTCCTGGGTGGGAGTGGGAAGAGGCTCAAAAGGCCTCCTCCCCGCCAACGCAACCTCTGCACAGCCTCCAGGTACCCAGATGCAGGTACGCCGACGCCCGAGACAAGCCGGCGCCGGCGCGCGGCCTGGCGCCCTCGGGCCCCACACCCCCTTCTGGCCTCTTCGCTCTCCATCCTGGGCTGGCTACTTACTGGTTGGGGGCGGGGAGAAGCGGGGACTCTGCATCCATGGGGTCCGGTCTGGCTTCTCGGGGCTCTCGGCCTTCACCAGAGCATCTTCTGGTAGCTTGAGAAGTCCCCCGACTGAGAAATGGCCGAGAGGCCGCGGCGAGGAGGGCGCGTCCGGGGCGCCCAGCGATCCGGGCCGGGTGCCCAAGTGCTGCAACGAGCCACCCGCTGCCTGAGCCCCCTCAGAGGCCACCAAGACGCTCTCCTTGGCCCCGGGCTTCCTGTGATCAGCCATGAGGGCCTCCACGCTGAAGGGCAGGAGCGAAGCGGGCACTTTGGGCTTGGCCCCCTCTTCATCTGTGCCCATGGCGGTCGCCGTGGCCGCAGCAGAGCTGGGGGCCTGACCAGCGCCTCCCCCTGTAGGCTTGCCAAAGGCAGAGTCCTCCACTTTGACACCGAGTGGCAAAGAAGTCATAGCAGCAGCCGGGGCCATGCAGAGCCGGACCCCCACTCCAGCCGCAGCTCGGGCCAGCCCTGGAGCATGGGTTTCGGGCGGGCTGGAGCGCGGCCGGCTTCTGCGAGTTCCCGGGACCCTGGCCCGGTCGACCCTCCCGCGAGAGCCTCCCGCGGCTCCCCCAAAGGCCGGCTGGGGCGAGCTGGGCCTGGATCACTGCGCCGCGCAGGCCGATTTCCCGGGCGCACTCGCCGGCTCCGGGTCCGCCGCCGCTCCCCTGAGAACTTGTTAATAAGGCAAGGCCAGCGCGGCAGCGACCAATCAGCGCGCGAGGGGGCGGGCCCGGAGAGAACCATTGGGCCGCGCTCCTGTCTCGAGGCGCGCCCGGCCTGGGGGCGCTCTGGGCTGGAGAGAGCCGGAGGTACCTGGGGAGCCTTTCTGCCCGAGTTAGCCTGGTGGGCATCTGTCCGGCTGGGTCCCCCTAGACGTGGATCCTACCGAGTTCCAGAGGGATTTTCCTTTATTAGCTCTTCTCTTCTGCCCTAATCTCCTCCACCACCCCTTACCCACTCTTTCCTTTCCCCTCTATAGTCCCCTCTGTCGCTGTTTCTTAAAAGCCCCCTTCCTTCTTCGGCCCCTTCTTTCTACCACGGAAGTTTTTACTTCAGTTCACTTACAAATGCTTTTCATATTTGTTTTCAATGATCATACTTATTTGTCAGAGTAGAAAGGAATAATACTAGTTTCTTTCTTTAAAAAAAAAACACCCTACGTGACTGTGACTTGTGTGTTTCAATCTTGAAAAGTTTGCCCGAGGCTGAACAACTTTGTCAAAGGAAGCCTGGGCCCTGTTGGTTCTGTGGATGCAAGAACATGTAACAGAATCTGGGGAATGCGTTGGTGTTCATACAAACATGTACCCCCTTCCCCGACTTTTCTCCAGAAAGTTACACCTCTGCGAGGGAACTGCTGGCCAAAGGAGCACCTGGAGCCCTTGGGTGGAGCATTGGAAACAACAACAACAAAACACCGATCTGGCCTCAGCGTGACCTCAGACAATGAGGCCTCAAAAACCTAACACTTTTCTAACGCTGGGTGCTTGTTGGTGAAGAGTAGAGGCCCATGTGAAGAAGGGGCCAGAGAAAGAAAGCAATTCCTGGAAGCGTAACTTTGGTGCGAGGCTTTAAAACTTTTGTTTGCCGAATTTCGAAGGTTTTATTTTGACTAATATAAAAAGGAGGAAAGTTGTTGAGGGGGCACAGAAAATCTATGTAAACTGGGTTCGGACGGGGGCGGGAGGGGGGTGCTTTTCTTTTATGGCCTCTCTTATCCCAGGGCCCAGGCCCGCGGCTCCAGGGGAGTTGGAGGAGGTGATTGGCGGCTCACCGGGACTGGGCATTGATGACTGCGGGGCTCTAATCTCCAGGAAACACAAGGGGTTGCCGTGGCCATTTAGGGGTAATTATCCGAGCACGGAGGGATAGCGAATTCCCTGGCCTTTTAACTGGGCGCAATAAAAAGCTGTAGATTAGGGGCGACCAGATTAAGGAAAATGAATTACTTTATTACCCAGACGGCGTCCGGGGTCTGGAGGGAGGGGTCGGGCTGCGGACGCCGGAGAGATCGGAGCCTCACATCTGCCCACAGGGCCTGAAGAAATAGTAAGGCCTCGGGGCGGGTTCGGGAATACTCGCTTCTGTGAAATGTCGGGATTTCTTAGGCATTTGAGCATGCGGAGCAGGCACTGCCCAGAGCTTGGGACTCAAACTCATTTAGGCCCAGCTGGACGCTCGCTGTCCTGGGTCCACTGAGATGTGTGTGTGTGTGTGTGTGTGTGTGTGTGTGTGTGTGTGTGTGTGTGTGTGTGTGTGTAAAGTAGAAGCCATGCCACCCTATTTTAAAGCCTGGCAAATGAAAGCTTAGCAAGAGTGTAGGCCGAATGCCTAGCTCGAAGCCTAGAGGGGAGGGCGAACTTCTAAAGCTGAAGAACTAATTAAGCTGTTGTTAGATCAACTCGTTCAACAACGTTAGCCGGTTTTCACTCAGCGCTCCTGTTAAAACCGAAGCGGAAATAAATCCCCTAAGTGCCCCCCCTTTTAGACCAGCGTTTTTAATATGAGAAATATTTGTCAAGTAAGGGTTTTCAGTTGTTTCACCGCGGTCCCCAACTCAAAATGATTCTCTCCCAGGGAGAGATCGGAAAATCAATCCAATGTTAGCTAAGGCCATTTCCCTGGAGGGAAAAATGCACATCAACTAAAACACCTTACACGCAATTGTATAGACAACATCAGGAACTCGTGGACCAGCCCCGAGTCTTAATTCCTGCTTTAGGGTCAAGGGGGTCTCGAACCCCAAGAGTGGGACCCCAGAGCATTACGGGGCTTCAGCGGAACTCTAGGCGTGAGCGGCAGTCTGAGCAAAAAAAAAAAAAAAAAAGGCCTAGCCTCGGGCCCGGGAGGGGGGCGGCCTGAGAAGGGCTGCATCGCTAATTGCGGGGATAAACAATCTGTCACGATCCCTCAGCGCGCCTAATAGGCAGACGAGGATGTTGTTTTTAGGCGCCAGCGGCGGCCGGATCAAAGGCTGCAGCCGGCGCAGGGGCCCTTGAAGTCGCGCCCCTGCCTCCAGGGAGCAAACTGCTTGCGCCCGCAGCCCTGAGCCCTGCATTCGGCCCCTGGGCTTTTAGAGTTTGTCTCGAGTCCGACTCTTCTTTTTGGGTTCCGTGCGGGTTCGGTTCTGCAGTGGTCCTGCACGCAAGGGCTGGACAGGCTTGCAAACATTTACAAGACTAGAAGAGCAGAGTACTCAAAGGCTAGTTGAAGTAGCTCAGGACCCCTTCTGGGCTGTGCCCATGGGCTGCGAAGAAAAAGTGTCCCCCGAATCTGAGAAGGAAGTTGGAGAAACAAAATAAAATGCCTGTTCCCGGGTGTGTGGCTTAGTCGCAAAGACGAAAGGCATGTGTTTGGGATCTATGAGAGCCGGCAACCTCCGAGCTCATTTTTGTCAGGCCTTTGCGGATTTCCCGGCCTGGCCCGTGGGTTCGGCGAGCAGACAGTCCGGGCTGTGCCTGTTATCTCTCCGAAGCGCAAACCTGAGGCGCTGCTGCCCAGGCGCGACCGTTGTAGGCCCCGGAGAAAACCGACCGTAATTCATGCCTGGCAAGGGCAGGTCTGGCCCGCGGCAGATAAAACTCAGAGACCGGCGCTCGGTTAGCAGCCTCGCCGACTCTCAACTCTCCTCCCCTCCCCCTCGCTCGGCATCCCCTCGACTCCTGAACCCTAATGTACTCCTGTTTCCGGGGAAAAAAAAAAAGCCTTCGCCGGTTGAGATCATAAAAACTAACTGTCCTGCATCCAGTGTCTGGGCCGCTACACTGGTTGGTGGCATTTACCCCGTAGCCCAAAATGCATGTTTTGCTGGAGTATAGGTCGGCTGAGGTATGGCTGTTATAAGGTTCCTAGATAGCTCCTTCCCGGTGGGCAGAAAAATCAGCTTGTAGAGGGATTAGATTAGTAAAGGCAGCTGTTACTACCCGGGTCTCTTCCTCCCGTTGGAGGAACCTGAGGGCTAGCCCTTCAGTACTGCGTGTTCGTTGTAGCCCTCATTTCACCCCCTTTTCCACCGCATCTCTGGCCTCTGCCCAGGAACCCCGCATCCATTTTTTTAAATGTGCGCCTCAGTGGGATCCGCCAGCAATTAGGTAGCTCCAAACAGTCTTCTTTAATAGAATGGATGTGCTATGAAAACCGATTACCCGGAACGCTTTATTTTTGTGGGGATCCACCAATCGCCAGGAGGGTTGCGAAAGGAGAGAGAAGAGGTATTTTGTCCCTGGGTGGGGGTGGGGATTGATGGATGGACAGAAAGCCTCGCTCTGGGATCTGCTACCCTCCCGAGAGGCCCTTCCTTCCTTGCCGCCGTGGAGCCTTCGTCGTCCTCGAGTGAGGGGCTAGGAGTCATGTTTGAGAAATTGCCTGGGATCACTCGTTCAGGGAAGATTTCAAAGCTTTCCAAGGACAAACCCCAGAGTTTAGAACTAGAAAAATCTTCAGCTCCAGAAGGTGCAGAGGTGATAGGTATAAAAATAAAAATGCTTCGACTTTCGAAGGACCTTGGCCAAACTGATGCCGTCCTTAGCGCTCGAACTGGTGCCGCTGAAGGAGCCCGTCCTGGAAGGTGTTTTTTGGTTTTGTTTTTATATTTTTTTTCTCTTTCTTGCGAACTCCTCAACTTCTTCGAAGGAAGGGCGCCAGTCCTGCAGATTCATCCGCGGAACTGGCAGCTAGAGCCTGCGACTTCTTGCCCCGTCCTGCCCATCCCCCACTTGCTCTGGATCCCTCTTTCTCAGCCCAGCTTTCTTGTGTCTTTACATTCGGGAGGGGTGAGGGGCCAGGGTCCGCGGAAGAGGGAGCTCCCTCTTCAAATGGCGCAAATTAATGCGATCGGGACTTGAGGGTGCACTTGGGGAAGATGAAAGCGGAGGCCTGCCGGCTCCTACCAGGACTCTATAATTATAGATAATATATCTCATTTCAAAGCAATTAGACCAATCAGGCGTAACGAACCACTTTGCTGCCTACGAATAACAAAGGCGCACGGTTATTTAAGCCTGGAGATGTCAGGCAGACCCTGAGGCTCCAGGGGCCCGGACCGAGGTCCTCCACCCCAGCTCGGCCCACCGCCGTACGGGAAAGATTCCCCAGAATTCTTCTCCTTCTGTCCGCCGACTAAGCACCTCTCTGGGCTCTAGCCCCTGGCCTCGGGGTCATGGGTTGGAGGGGATGGGAAAAACTTGGCATCAGATCTTTGATGAGAAGTTTCGAAAATTTTAACTGACTTAATCCTTTCTACCCTGGGACTTCGAAAATATACCTCCCTAGTCTCCCGAGCTGAAAAGGGAGAGTCAGAGAGAAAAGCGCCCTGCTAAGGGTTACACAGCTAGCTAGAGGTGGGGTTGTTGCTAGTAGCTCTAAGCACTCAAACCCCCGCCTTGCCTTTTTCATTACTTTACGAGGAACAGCCTCGCTAGGGCCCCTCCAAAATTGCGTTGACAAACTGGGGGCACCGCTGAGGAACTGGATGGATCCGCCCCCAGTCCCGCCCAGACAGGGAGGGAAGATCTTTCATCCTGCAATGACTAATCTCTCTGTCGATTGCCTTCGTTTTTTGCCCTCCCCTATAAGAAGTCCAGGACACTGTCGAGGTTCTTTAAGTATGTTTTAAATGCCCAGGCTCTTGGGTCTGTTTGAGAAGAAAACAGGCCTGAG